ATGCAGCCCCTCCCGCCTGGCATCCTGAGGAAGGGGTCTCGCAGTTCCTCCCCAGTGGTGTGCGGCGGGAACGGCAAGGGCGACAAAGGCGGCGGCGACCAACGGGCGAGCAAACTCTTCCTCCAGGCAGGCGAAAAGGCCTTTGACCCAGAGCTCAAGAAGGCATTCATCAGCGCGGCAGACACGATGGTGCAGAAGGCCCACGCTGCGGTGTCGGTTGAATCACAAGTCGAACCCTTCACGAGGGCAGATTGTGCGGTCAAAAACACGGAGCACCTTCACGACCAGGCGGGCAGCACTGTACTGAGGCTCCGCAGAAAAAAAAAACGGCGGCACCGGAGGAGAAGGAGGCGATGGTGGCCAAGTAGTTTGCGGTGGCTACCCGAGCGAAAAAGACGACCACGGCGGCGTTCGCCAAAACCGACGGCTTGGGGACGGTGTGTGTGTGTGTGTGTGTGTATGTGTGTGTGTGTGTGCGCGTGCGTGTGCGTGGGGGTGGGAATCCGAGCTCCAGGCCGGCCAGGTTCTTCTCGGCGGCGAGCCGGGGGGGAGTAAAAAGGGGCGGGCCGTTTTCTGAAGGCTCAGACGTCCCTTGGTCTCGGGGAAGGACTCCTGCCCCGAAGACATGTAGAAATTCCCTGGGGCCCGAGGGTTTCGGAGAATCCCCTCTGCCTTCTGAAAAGGCCTCGTCTTTTTCACTCCTTTCCTTCGCTCGCCGCCAAGCGAACGCGCGGCATTCCAGAACTTCCAGAAGCACTTCGTGGATGTAGGCGAGACCTTTGGGCACGATGGTCAGATCAAGAATTTTCTCAGGCAGGCCGATGACTACCAGAAGGCCATCCTGGACAGGATGGCCAAGAATCGCAGGGCGAACGACTCCACAGCGCAGCTCTGGTCCGGGACCCCGTAGCAAGAAGCGGCCAAGGGGGAACCGTCCAACGGCTGGGGCATCTCAACCGAGGACGGGGTCAGTTCGGGCAGCAACAAGGCGGAGGAGGACGAGTAGACGAGGATCGCGGAGGAGAAGAAGGTCGCCGAAAAGGCGGTCAACCTCTCCGAGTCGAAGTCCAAGGCGCAGCGCGAGGCCGCCAAGTCGCGGGGCAAGGCTTCGGCGGCGAGCGGAGCTGCGGCTGCGCGGCGACGCCAGGGGGCCCTTCGGACCTATGCCGAGGAGGCGTTAGAGGGCGTTGATGAGTGCGCAAGTCGCTTGTGCTCCAACATCACTTGTCTGACGGACAACGCGCGGCAGTTCATGGCCGCCAGCCCACGACCACGGGGCGTCGGCCAGGGCTCGCATGCACAAGGGGCCGGTGGGATCCTGAGGCAAGGAAGCTGAAGCTTCGCCTGCATACGTACTTATTAGCTCGCATCCAGTTCCCGAGAAGCCAGATCGAATGAGGGTTGAGAGAGGTTGCTCTCGCGAAAACACTTTCAATGTCACATACTACGTGGGGGCACTACGTGGGGCTCGTGCTGCAACCGAGCCGTTGAAGGTGCCCCAGCAGTCCGCCTTCGACGGTTTCTGCCCAGTGACTACACAGCAGCAGGGCGATGCCATAGCTCCCCATCGTGCTGAGCGCGCGCCCTAACGTCCAGATGACGTGGGGGGGCACCGACAGGTCTAATCGTCTGGGCGGCCTCCTGGAAGCCCTGCCCTGCGCGCGCCGCGGCAAGTCGCCGGGGGCGACGACGCGGCGCGTTTCTTGAAGGAGGTCGGCGCGGCCATCAGGCCCCCCGCCAACGCCGAGGGCATTTGCTCGCAAACAAGGGCATGTTACGCAATGTTTGCTTATATTGCGATGAGTCCCCTGGCCGCGTCGCTCGCGAGAGCTGCGGGCGCCGTTGGGGGCGTCGCCTGGAAGCCTCGCGCAGGACTTGTCATGAAGCTGTGGCGCTCGGTGCATCAGCTCAGGGCCCGAGGGCTCTCGCTTCCCTAATGCTCTCCCAGTTCATTGAGACCCCGGCAGGGGCCCGCCCCCAGCTCCAAGCCCAGCCAGGCCACGTCCGAAGCGTTGCTGGGATGCCAGGAGGCGCGTGCCAGGACGGCCGACGATTTTTGAAAGCTGTTTCGGGGTTGTTTCAGCGACGAGGCCACTGGGGCCACTGCTTGGGCTGGGCCCCCAGGCGGATTCGGAGGGCGATTTGGATCTTGGTTGTTTCGGTCACCCCGAGGGGGAAGGTGGCCCCTGAGCGCGCGGTCGAACTTTTGCCCGGCTTCCCAGCTGCGTCCGCCCATGGGTTCTGATGCGGCGCCTAGTGCGTAGATTTCCAGACTGTTCGAGGATTGGGAAAGGAGCCTGTGTTGACCCAGTCAGAAATCGTCGGCAGGCGAGGCCTCCCCCCCGCACCGCCACCCCTACATTCAAGCAGCCTGGTGGGCAACGGTCAGAAAGGGCCCTCCCGGCAGGGTGCTCCCTCGCGCGCCGGGCCCGCGCGTGCCCCCTCGCCCGCGTTTAGAAGTCCCGTGGGCTTGGATTGAATGCGGGCGTCAGGTTGGCTTCAGTTTTGGCGCCGAGGTTGTCGCTGGCGTTTCCCCTTGCCTCTCCTACTCCGTGGCCTTTTCCGCTCAGCCCCTCCCCGAGCGCGCGCCTCGCGGGGCGGCGCGCGGCAGGGGCGATGGCGGCGGCGAAGACAATCCACGTCCGCCGTGGCGCGCGAGCCCCCCGCCCCCCGGGGGCGACGCGAGCTGCCGATCCCAAGTCAGCGCGGAAATCTTTGAGGGCAGCGGCTCATTGCAGGGGGTTGCCCTTGGAATATCAGCGCAGCCAACGTCGGGCGAGGGCCCGCGCGGCGCGCGGAGGCGGGCGCCGTCGTTCGCGCGGGGCCAACGGGCAGAGACATCGGGGGGCGCGCGCCGCGCATGGCGGCATTGTCGGTGCTTCCAGTCCACCCAGCGCACGCTGCATCCTCAACCCTGGGAAAGGCGCGCCATGGGCGAAGTGGCTGGAGGCGCCGCAGGCACCATCGAGAGTATCAGCGCCAATCCTGGATAACGATGTCCAGGCCGCCAAACGCATTGCTGGGCGAGCGCAGCGCTCTGCCATCCGCGATTAAGCATGTGAGTTCATGCATTTTGCTGCTACGCCCTGGGCGGCTGGTCTCCGGCATAAGCCGATCAAGCAAAGCTCGCTGACCTGGCGGGGGGCCGAGCAAGATGGCGGAGCGCGGATCCAACCGGCAGACATGATGGGTGAGAAGGCTATTTCATCTAAAAGTTCATTGGCTCTGAGGAGCCCCGAGCTGGGGGGGGGTCGCCCCCCTGATCCGGGCCGAAGCAGCGGAGTTCGATGCCCGTCTAGTGGTTTTCCCTGAGCAGGTTCGCCGCGGCGCCTGGGCCGCGAAAGCCCGGGCGGGCCTCTGGGTGGATGTCCTCGCGCCCGTGGGCGACCAGAGTCCCCGCGTTGAGCCGCTGGGAGTTCACCCCGCTCCGCGGCAAAATCGAGCCGGCGTTGGCCCGGCCGCTGCAGACGCCACTCGTGGCCAGGCATCGGGCGCGCAAGAATTCGATGGGGGGGCAGGGCTATGGGCGCGACATCTACGCGGGGGAGGCCGCGGTCGCACATGCGCGAACCACTCGCGCGCCAATGGTCGAATGATCGGGCCCAGTCGCGGGGCGCGGCGGCGGCGGAGACCCCGTGTTTCTAGGAGGCATGCCGCCGCGTCGTCGACGAGGATGCGGCGCGCGCGCTGCGCGTGGAGTTCGGGCACGGCTTGCTGGACATCCTGGAGCTCTACGGCGCCGCTCCCTGGCTGCAGTTGGCCAGGGCGGCCCCTTCGCTATCAAGTTCCACCAGCCGTTCTACGCGTTGGACTGCTGCGATGCGTTTCGGTGCGAACGTTTGCCCAGGGCAGGGCCGTGGCTGCCTCGCTCGAGCCATGCCGGAGCGCACTCGCAAGCGTGGGGCCAGGTGCCAGATTTGCTCCAGTTCTGACGCGTTATGATGTGAAACTCGTGGCGACTGCAACGTCGCAGAGGCCATGCAGGGCGCGGGCGGGCTGCGTCGGTGGCAAGGGCGGGCTCGCGGAAGGCCGTGCGGTCCAGCCTCGTTCGGGGAGTTCTGAAGGTGGAGGGGGAGCTTTCTAAGTTGGGCTTTGAGCTGGCCGGGGAATCTGCCATCGTGCTCTCGAGCCCAAACGGCGCGCGTGCACTTGCGAAGGAGGTCAAGCCCAACGCATTGCCAGTCAAGGTCGCCATGCAGGTGGCGCACATCGGAGCCGGTCTCGGTTGCGGCGGGCAGAGGCGGGCCACGCGGACGCAGTGACAGGCCAACCGCGAGCTGATGAAGGGAACGGTGAAGCGGTTGTGTCGGGCATTCCGGCGAAATGGAGCCATGGCCAGACTCGATCGCAGTGGGGGTCTGCCAGCAGGAACGCACGTATTTCACCTCCGCGGAATGTTGAGACCACAAATGGCACAATGCATGAGAATATTGGAACGCATCAGTGCTGCGGGGGCAAGCAGTGGACGCATTGCCGCGCCGCTGGGCTCGCGCGTTTCATCGGGCGACAAGGCGGCGCAATATTCCACGAAGCGCATCGGCGCGTGGTTGGCGAACCGGCACGCCCTCCCTGAGATGCGACCAAGGACGCGCCTCGTCTGAGACAAGGCGCGCGCGGAGCTGAAAAGGCTGCGCGACAGGAGTCAGGTGAGAGCAGTGCGCGGCCCGATTTCGGCCACCGCCCTGACGCCCCCCAGGCGCAATTGGAGTCCTGAACATGCTGCTGCGTGGCCCCGCTCGTCGCTGCGTGGCGCGAGGGGGAATGGCAGATCCCAGATGCGATCTACACAGCAGACAAATTGATGGACAAAGGCAGTGATAGTCTGAAAGTCAGCACAGCAACAGCGGAGTTGTTGGTGCGGACAAGCTGCTCAACGTTAGAGTGGGGGCGGAGCTGGATATGGCGTAGATAATGCTTTGTTTCTCAAATATCACGCGGGAATTGATTGAGTCAGCTTCTTGTGAGTTTAAGCGCAGGATGGTCTCGACAAGACAGAGGTAGAAGCCATAGATGAAATAAAAAGTGACATTGGACAATCTGAGTGCGATTTATGCAAGTAGAAGAGTGAGCCAGCGCGTCACAGATGTTGGAAGTGGGCTTCAGGAACCCCGTAAAGCACAGGGGACCGTCAGCAAACCCCTGGGGCCAAGGGTCCGGAGGGGTCCCGTTTAGGGAGGGGGGGGTCGCACGGTCCCAGATTATGAGAAATCAAAAAGGCGAGTATATATACACATGCACAAATGCGCGCGCGCGCGCGCGCGTGTGTGTGTGTGTGTGTGTGTGTGTGTGTGTGTGTGTGTGTGTGTGTTGAGACGTGTCACAGGCCTCTTGGATACGTCTCGGGGTCTCTTGGGATGCATCTCGGGGGGCCTCTTGGGGCTTCACTGCGGCGTCCTGAGAGCCTGTTGGGGGCCTCTGTCGGGCTTGTTGGAGGTCTCTGGGGTCATCTTGGGGGGAGAGGCTCCGAACGGCCCTCTGAGTTTCCCTTTTTCGGCTACTCTGAAGGCCCTCTGGCAGCCTCTTGGGCCGTCTTGGGGGCCTCTTGGGCAGTTTTGGCGCCTTCTTGGGAGGCTCTTGGATTGTTTTTGGGCGATCAGTTTTGCCTTTTGCGCCGTCGTGGGCGGGGCGAAACTCGAAACAGCGGGAACGCGAAAATCACCCAAACACCTTCGGCTCATCAGTATGTGTTACCTTTCGGTGCCCTCGTGGGGGTTCCCTTGGGATCCTCTTGGGGCATCCATCCTGGGCTGTTTTTCTGTGTTGGGGTAATTTGTCTTGTGCCCCCCCAGAGGTCCTCGTTCTGTAAGACTGTGCATGTATGTAGGTGTGTCTGTATGTATGTATGCAGCCATCTTTTTACGAATGAATGCATATATGCATGTGTGTATGCATGTATGCATGCAAATGTGTGTACCAGCGTACGTATATATATATATACACGTATGTATGTATGTAGGTAGGTAGATAGGCTGGTATCCAGGTAAGTACATCTAGATGCATGTGTGCACAAGCATATGTGTACGCTTGTATGTATGTTTGCATGTATGCATGCAACCATGTATGCATGTATTGTGTATGTATGTGTGTATGAACGCATGCATACCTGTGCATGTATGTATGTATGGATGCATGTGCTACTGTATTGATGTATGAATGAATGTATGTATGTATTCATGCACGTATGTATGTGCGTATGTGTGTCTGACTGCATACACGTATCCATATACGTATACAGTTAGAGGTGTGTGTGTGTGTGTGCACGTGTGTATGTGTATGCATGTTGTGTGGTATGTCTGTCTGTCTGTCTGCCTGCCTGTCTGTCTGTCTGTCTGTCTGTCTGTCTGTCTGTCTGTCTGTCTGTCTGTCTGTCTGTCTGTACGCATGTCTGTATGTATTGTAGTGGCCTTCGGCCAGTGCAGCCGATCCGGGTCGCTCGGGGTTATTCTCCAGACGCAGACATTATGGGCGCACACTCAAACGCACACACGCAGTCACACCACCCAACCGGCGCCGCAGACATGGGGGCCTGTCAGGGCGTCCTGGGGGGCTTCTCGGAGACTTTTGGGGGCCCTTTTGGGAGCTCTTAGGCGTCTGGGGGCGGTTTTTGGGGCATCTTAGGGGCCTGTCAGGGCGTCCTGGGGCGCTTCTTGGAGGCTTTTGGGAGCCCCCTTGGGAGCTCTTGGGGCCTCCGCTTTTTCCACTTTTCGTCCCTCTTTGGGGTCTTCTTGGGGACGCTTGGGGGGGCTCTTGGGCCGTCACCCCGCATCCGCCGGAAACTCGCACCCCCCCCCCCCCATCCCCCCTTCCCCGGCAGAGCCACCCCGGCAACCCCCCCAGAGGCTGAGGCTCAGCTTCGAGGCTGTAGCTGAGACCCCTTGAAACTCACACGCCGGATCGGCGGATTTATGGATGTGTGTATGAAAGTCTATACAAAGAGATCTGTTCGTAGAAAGAGAGATAACGCAGAGCAGTCTCTGAAGAAAGAGGAAGAGAGGTACTATGTTGGGGAAGGGGAGGCTGCGAGAGAGAGAGAGAGAGAGAGATAGAGAGAGAGATCGATCGCGGCGGATATGTAGTGAGAGTGAATGTTAGTCTTTCTTCTTTTACTACAGAATCGGTTATGCTGTGAAACTTTGATTCGTCTTTCTGAAGTGATGTCTTGTCGTGCCTCAGCCCTCGCTGGAGTGACTTCTCTAGCCATGGCGGCGCCGTGCTCGTTTCCTTTGCCAGCTGATCTGGCTGTGGATTCAATCCTGGAGCGCGCTGGCGTGCGCAAGCTTCCTGCCTGCACGACTCGGTGAGGTGATGAGAGAGAGAGAGAGAGAGAGAGAGAGATCGAAGACAGAGAGAAATATAATGGGAGAAAGAGAGAGAGAAAGAGAGAGAGAGAGAGAGAGAGCGAGAGAGAGAGAGAGAGAGAAGCGGCGGATAAGGAGGAGGTGGTGGAGGAAGGGATATGCGGGGATTCTCTGGATGAGTAGGGAGGCAGGGCTAGAGGGAAGGCCGGGGATAATGTGGAGGATCAGTAGGTAGGGGGGGGTGAGGAGGATGGGGAGAAGGATGGAGAACTGAAGGAAGAAGCAGGCGATTAACAGGAGGGGGTTGGGGAGAAGGATGGAGAACTGAAGAAAGGAGGAGGCGATTATCAAAGAGGGAGGCATGGAGGCAGATACGTACGATGCTGCTGCTGATAGAGAGAAGGACGAGGAGGAGGAGGAGGAGGCTGAGGAGGAGTCGGCGCAGGAGGATCACAAAGAGGGAAGACGGGGAAAAGAGGAGGAGAAGGACGAGGAGTGCGAGATTGGGGAGGATGCGAAGGACGTGGGGGAGGAGGAGGAAGAAGAAAAATAGAAGGGAAGGAGGGACGCAGGAGGAGGAAGAGGAGGAGGAGGCGGAGGAGATAGGAGGAGGAGGAGGAGACAAGAGGGAGCCAGAGGAGGAGAACGAGGTCGAGGTAGCAGGATAAGAGGGGGAGCAGGATCAGGAAGTGGAGGATGATGATGATGAGGAGGAGGAGGAGGAGGAGGAGGAAGATGTGGATGGTTTGGTCGGAATGTGGCAGGAATGGAACAAGCAGACTTCGCGCTTTGAGGCGCGCGCGCGCCATCGGTATGGGCGCACGAGGGCCCGACAGGGCGCCTCACGGCGGGGCGCCTCGCGCCGGTGGAGGGCACTTGGGGTGGGGAGGGGGGTCGGGGGGGGGGAGGGGAGGAGAAGGGCAGCGAGAAGGGTAAGATTCGGGGGTGGAGAACCCCCACCCTGACACGTCGATTAGTGAATTGTCCGTTTTCGGTTCTCGAGAGGGCGTTGAGGCCGTCAATTACCCGGCTTGCGCCCGCCAGGTTTGGGCCCGAGGTCGTTTTCACTAAACCACGTTTTACTAAAGGGGGTTCTGTCCATCCCCGAAAGATGGGGACGGGCTGCACGGGGGAGGACGGGGATGGGGTTGGGAAGGATGAGCCGAAGGGTTGAGTTCTGTAAAGGCGGGCGTGGATGAGGCGGAGGTCGAGGAAGGAGGAAGAGGAGGAGGAGACAGTCCAGGGAGGATCATGAGGAGGAGGTGGAGGAGGTCGACGTTTGGGGGGGAGGGGGATGAGGGAGGGCAGGCGAGGAGATGGCATCACAGCAGACCAGAGGGCAGGAACGGGAGTGAGGGGCACACGGAAGAGTAGAGGAGGTGGGGACCTTCCATTACCCTAACCCTCATGCCTCCTCTCAGTTTCCCCGTTCCTTCGCACACTGACATATATACATATATGTACGTGTATGTGCATATGTATGTATGTCTGTAGTGTGCTTGTATGTATGTATACACATGCGCGTACTATTGTATGTATGTGTGTATGCATGCATGTATGTATGTATGTATGTATGTATGTATGTATGCATGAATGTATGCACGTACACAGTTCTATAATTATATGCATGCACGTATGCATGTGTGCATGTACGTACGAATGTGTGTATGCATGTAGGGCTGTGCGTATGTATACATGTGTGTATGTAGGCGTGCATGTATGTATGCATTTACGCCTTCATTTGCATGTATGTATATGTGTAGGTAGTCATGCATGATGTATGTATGTATGTGTGTGCGTATGTGCGTGTGTGCGTGCGTGCGCGATGTATGTGTGTATGCATGTTTGCATGCATGCATGTATGTATGCATGCATGTATGTATGTATCTAAGTTTGTGTTTGAGTGTATATGTGTATGTGAGGATGTATGAACGTGTGCATGCATGTATTTATGTATAGACAGCCGTTTCTGTATGCGTGTATGCATGTGTGTATGTGTGGTGTGCATGTATGTGTTGCTGCATGGCTTTATGCTCGTCAACGGGCATGTGCATCTATGCTCGTATTTGCATGTGCGTATGTATGTATGCATGGATGTACGTATGTATGTATGGATTCGTGTATGTATGCTTGTATGCGTGTACGTACGCACGCACGTACGTACACACTTATGTATGTAAGTTTGTATGTATGTGCATATGCATGTATGGATTTGTATGTGTTCATGTACGTGTGTATGTGTGTGTGTGTGGATCGGTATGTAGGTCGGTAAGTCGGTTGGTCGGTATGTAGGTGGGTAGGCAGGTGTGTAGGTGTGGATATCTATATGTACACACACTGTATTCCCTCATTCGTACTGCTCTTCTCCCTCCTCTCCGCCATCTGCGCTACTTATCCTTCCTGCTTCCTTCCCTATTCTTGAATGGAATTGAAAAGTAGTTTTGGCACGGTAAGGAGACGCCAGGACAGGGGATGGCAGGGGAGTCGAGGGACATGAGTGCAAATGAGCGGTTTTGGACATGATTTGAAGCCGAGTGGTCATTGCGCCGCGGACCAGGACAAAGGCACGAACCACGGGCGGCGATACTACCAGAAGGTCCAGAAAATCGCAGGGCACGAGGACATCCAGGCGCCCTCCGTTCCTCCCGCCTCTCTCCCGCTCTTGCCTCTCCTGCTCCTGACTGCATGGCCGCGCCGCTTCAACGGCCAGCGTGGGCGCCTCCATGGGCGCCCGAGTCCTCCTGCACACACGTCTCGGCGGGAGGAGCAGCGGGACCAGCACCACCAGGGGGCAGGCCCACCGCCAGCGCGGAGGCCCACGAGGCCCCTCCGAGCTGGAGGCCGGAGGCGTCTCGAGCGAGGAGGGGGGGGACCACACCGCCAGGGAGTTCCCCCGTGCCCTTGGCATAGCTCGGACGTGGGCGTTTTTCCTTCGGCGAGGACTATCGAGGAGCATCCTTGATCATTTGGCGAAGAAGCCACGCACGAAACCAACAAAAAACAGGGAATGGACGTCCGAGCGATGGCCAGTGCCTCCTCGCATCTCCACGCCCCGCATCTCCTCGCCCCGTTGGTGTCGGTGTCGCCTTCCCTTGCTCCTGACATCTGGCCATGGGTCGGACCGGCTGTGCGTCCTGGTCCCATTGCTGCTTCTCACAGCTCGGCAGGGGCACGTCTTCTCGCGTGCGGGCCGCCTCGCCTGGCTCTCGATCGCCCTGCTTGTTTCGCGGCCCCGTCAGCTCTCTGCCTCGATGGACGCGCTGGACTCCCGTCGCGCCCGTCTGGCCGTCCAGAGCACAGAGAGCAGTTTCTGACGGTCCAGGGGCCCGCAGGGGCCCCCAGAGGCAGGACAAGAGAGTCCACATCCGTCCGTCGTCGTGCTTTCGTGGCGCGAGGGGGTCTGGGTCCTTCTGCCCCCCCCCCGCTCCATCCCTGGCGCCCTCACCCGCAAGGTGTTCATGTACTACTGGGACGAGCGGGACGGCCCCGAGTTCAGCGGCTGGTGGTTCGGGGACGCCCTCGGCGGCTCCCAGGAGGGGTGGAGGGGAGGGATCCAGCGGCAGACGAGCGGGGGGTGTCGGAGCGGCGACGACGACGATGACGACGGCAGCGGCGGCGGCGACGACGACGACGACGACGACGACCCCGAGGTGGAGGAGGAGGAGGAGGAGGAGGAGGAGGAGGAGGAGGAGGAGGAGGAGGAGGCTTCGGTTTGCTGCTGTTCGCTTACCTGCGCTGTCGGCTCTTTGCGGGCTTCAGAGGGCCTCTGTCTGCCTCCAGACCTTCGAGAACCTGCGGGAAACCTTGGAGACTTCCAGGCAGTTTGAGGGACGGGTAGGAAGGAACGACAGAGTGGGGTGATGAGGGTAATGTTCTTAGCCGTGTTGCGCATGGCGAAGGCGCCGAGCATCGAAAGAGCAGTTTTGAAGCTCGAGACTTACACTTGAGCTTGGGATGCATGTTGGCTGCTCGAGCTTGAGCTTAGGATTCCGATCGTGAGATGGGATTGGCTTGGGGGGGCAGGGACGCGGCGAGGCGCACGGCGCCGACACAGGGAGTCGTTGTGCGTAGCAGTTTTCGTTTGTTCGTTTGTCGGTGTATGTGTTCTTTGTTTGTGTGTTGTTTGTTGTTGTGGTTGTCGTTGTTGTTGTCGGTTGTGTCGTTGTTGCCGATCTGATTGAACTTTCATGTCTCAGGGGTAATTATGGTTTATCCCAACCCCCTCCTGTAACCATTGCTTTTTGCTACATATTGAAGTGCGTCTCCCGGGGCTCGCACCTTACTTTTGTTAAAAGGGCAAGTGCGGTGTCAATCAACTGCGCCCCTGGCCCCCGAGTTACAACAACAACGGCTCCCGCCTGATACTTCCTCACAATGTATTGCAACTTCGAGTTCTCGCGTGGGAGTTCCTATTCCTCACAATGTATGCCAGAATCGCGCTCTCGCATAGGTCTTTCCCGCAATTTATTCAGACGCCGCGCCCTCGACATTCAGGAATCACGCTCCTCGCTGTGGAGTTTCACGGTTTACTTGGGAAGCGCGCTATCGCCTAAGACTTCTTCGTGATGCATGCAGGACGCACGCTTCAGAAACCCGTCAGCTCGACCTGGCCGCCTGGGCCAGCCTTGCCGATCCGCTCGTCAGGGTCTACTCACCCGGTCTGCCCGTCTGGTTCTGCCACGCGTTTTCTGCTCCTAGCCCCCCTCCTGCTACTCCTTCTCGTGCTCCATCCTCCTCCCACTTGTCCCTTCCTTTCATCCGTCCTCTCTTCCCCTGCCTTAGGGGCTGCACGAAACACACGCTGCAGGTAAGAAAGATATAGACCTCAAGGAGGCACGATCGAAAATGCATAGGCCGGAGATGGAGTGATTCGGATATACGTGTTGACTTGCCCGCGAGCAGATAAGAGCGAACTGTCTTAAACTGATTGATGTGATTGTTTGTTTGTGTTGTGGTTGTTGTGGTTGTTGTTGCTGGCTGTGCTGTTGTTGTGTTTGTTGTGATGTTGGTTGTGGCTGTGGTTGTTGTTGTTGTTGTTGTTGTTGTGGTTGTTGCTGTTGCTGTTGTGGCTGTTGTTGGTGTTGTTGTTGGTGTTGTCGCGGTTGTGATTGTGGTTGAACATTATTTCTTCTTAAGAATAATTATTGTTGGGACCCCTGGTGCGCGCCCCCCCCGCCGCGCCTAGGCCGCAGCCACATTTTCATCATTTTCGTGAGGAAGTCTCAGGCAAAACGATGTGTACCAGATCCGGTTGTTTTGTTGTCCCCCGCTTTCCCTTGCAAAAAATAAGCTAAAGTGGACATTTCTTGTTCTAACATAACCAAACTTCAAGAATCCCTTGCAAAAAATAAGGTAAAGTGGACATTCGCGCGCGCAAGACGAAATCCTTCCAAAACCTTAGTTTTCGTAGCGATTTTAACATAAAAACATCAAAACACCAATGTTTTTTTTTTTTTTGTTTAAAAAAAAAAATAAAATAAAAAAATGTCAGAATTTCATCCCGCGCGCTCTTGCGGATTCGTAGGAAACCCAACACTTTTTAAACATTTCTGTCAAACGGGCTTTTGCGAGCAACTTTTTCGAACTTCTGCAACAACGGTTGCGCACCTGCCAGGGCCATCATCCCTGTCAAATAATACCATGCGGGACACATTCGTTTTTTCTTCGCGCGCGCACGCCGTCGTCGTCGGCCGCGGGGCCCTGAATAGTAGCCACGGTCGTCCGCATGCCACGAAGTGAAGTGTCCGAACGTCATAGGGCGGGAAGCTGGGTGTGGGTGGTGGCGAAGAGTCGTTTGGAAATTTGGTAGAGCTTGAACCGGCCCCCCCACAAAGTGGGGGTATTGCCCGCCTCCTATGAAAACCCTTGGCACTGGTGAGAACGGAGTGTCCCCACGTGCTAGTAATTGTTGTTGTTGTTGTTGTTGTGGTTGTTGTTGCGGTTGTCGTTGTTGTTGTTGGTGTTGTTGTTGATGTTGTTGGTGCTGTTGTTGTTGCTGTTGTTGTTGCTGTTGTTGTTTTGAGCTTTCATCTATGGAGAATGGTTAGTATTAATCTCCCTGCCGATACCATTGTATGTTTTCAAGTACAGTATTTCTCGAGGGGTTCGCACCCTGTTTTGCAAGGGGAAGCGACGTGTCACAAAACTGGGCTGGTGGGCCCCGAACTACAACAACAACAACGGCTCCCGCCTGATACTTCCTGACCGTGGATTACCACATTCGCGCTCTCGCGTGGGACGTCCTCACAATTTCTACAGGAATCGCGCTCTCGCGTAGGATTTCCCCGCAGTGTATTCGCACGCCGCGTCCTAAACACTCAGGAATCACGCTCCTCGCTGTGGAGTTCTTCACGGTTTACTTGGGGAGCGCGCGAACGCCTAATATTTCTTCGTGATGCACGCAGAACGCACGCTTCAGCAACCCGCCTGCTCGACCTGGCTGCCTGGGCCAGCCTCCACGACCCGCCCGTTAGGGTCTACCCGCCCGGTCTGCCCATCTGGTTCTGCCACGTGCGTTCTGCTCCTAGCCCCTCTCCTGCTATTCCTTTTCGTGCTCCTTCAGCCTCCCTCCCCCTCGTCCCTTCTGTTCCATCCGTCCTCTCTTCCCCTGCCTGAAGGGCTGCACGAAACACACGTTGCAGGTAAGAGATCTATATTCCACAAGGAGGTACGTTCGAAGACGAAGGGGGCGGGGATCGAGGGATTGGGATATACGTGTTGAATGGCCCGCGAGCAGATTAGAGCGAACAGCCTTAGAATAAGTGTTGTTGTCGTTGTTGTTGTTACTTATGTTGTTATTGTCGTTGTTTTAGCTTTCATTGCTAAAGAGTAAATATGGTTGGCCCCCCTCCAGCGACCATTATGTGTTTTTCATTTGAAGTGCTCCCCCCGGGTCTCGCACCCTGTTTTATTTACAGGGAAAGCCACTCGGCTCAAACTGCGTTGTTGGGCCCCGGATTACAACAACAACAACAACCATTTTAAGGCTGTGCGCTCTTACTTGCCCGCGAGTCATTCAACACGTATACCCTACACCCTCGAAGCCCGCCCTCTTCGTCTTCGATCACACCCCTTTCGGGGGGATTATTTCTCTTTGCTGGGGCCGGCGGGCTTAGACGTACGGGCAAACCGGAACGGGCGGACAATCCTTCGGGGGCGTACATCTCTCTGCCCGCCATTGGAATTGGCGCGGGCCCTGCAAGAGGAGGAGGGGAAGAACGAGGGAGAGTGGGAGGAAGGGGAGGGGGAAGGACGAAGGAAGAGGGAAGATACCACGTTGTGAAGGCGTCCTTGGCGCGTGCGTGGTTCCTGAGCGCCGAAACGCAATTCCAGAATAATTTGTGAGGACGTCGCACGCGAGAGCGCAGTCCTGAGTACATTGTGAGGAAATCTCGGGCGGGAGCGGGGGCCCTGACTAAGTTGCGAGGAAGTCTCAAGCGGGAGCGCCGTTCCTGAGCAAATTGCACGGAAGTCTCAGGCGGGAGCGGGGGTCCTCACTAAATTGCGAGGAAGTCTCAGGCGGGAGCGCCGTTCCTGAGTCAATTGCGCGGAAATGTAGGCAGGAGCGGGGGTCCTGAGTAAAATTCAAAGAAGTCTCAGGCGGGAGCGCCGTTCCCACGTAAATTGCACGGAAGTCTCAGGCGGGAGCGGGGGTCTTGATTACATTGCGAGGAAGTCTCAAACGGGAGCGCCTTTCCTGAGTAAATTGCGCGGAAGTCTCAGGCGGGAGCGGGGGTCCTGAGTAAAAATCGAGGAAATCTCAGGCGGGAGCCGTTGTTGTTGTAGCCCGGGGGGCAGGGGCACAGTTTGAGCAGGAAGACTTTCCTTGAGAAAAAACAAGGTGCGAGCCCCGGGGGTGGCACTTCAATTGAAAAAATAAATGTGCACCGGTGGGGGGGGATCAACAATAATTATTCTTCAAGAGTGAGAGTTCAACAGCAACGGTTCCCGCTTGAATTTTCTTTGCAAATTAGCCAGGACCCCCGCTCCCGCCCGAGACTTCCTCGCGTTTTACACAGGAATCGCGCTCTCGCTTGGGAGGTCCTTACAATTCATGCAGGAGTTGCTTTCTCGGCGCTCTGGAGCCGCGTTCTCGCTGGAGACTTGCTTGCAATGTACACAAGACTCGCGCTCTTGCGATGGAACTCCCCCGCAATTTACTCAAGCGCCGCGCTCCCGACACTCAGGCACCCAGGAGTCGCATAAAACTCCTTCACATCAAACTTAGGAATCGGGATATCGCTGCCCTTCGTGACCCCCTCGCTGCCCTTCGTGGCGCCCTCGCTGCCCTTCGTGGCTCCATTGCAGCCCTTCGTGGCCCCCTCACTGTCCTTCGTGGCCCCGTTGCAGCCCTTCGTGGCCCCTTCGCTGCCCTTCATGGCCCCGTTGCAGCCCTTCGTGGCCCCCTCGCTGCCCTTCGTGGCCCCGTTGCAGCCCTTCGTGGCCCCTCGCTGCCCTTCGTGGCCCCGTTGCAGCCCTTCGTGGCCCCCTCGCTGCCCTTCGTGGCCCCGTTGCAGCTCTTTGTGACCCCCTC